TGTTTTCTCATTATGAGCTTCCATGAATAACATGATCTGTTGTCTCGCAAACAGTAAAGAAACGAACGGTTTGAGAACATTGGAAACACCTCCGCCCCACTCTAACTATCTCGGTTAAGTTCCCCCCTCCCCTCCCCCTCCTCGAGTCACGCGATGCAAAATTTCCTCCAAAATCTCAGAACCTGTCTGACTAATACAAATGAAACTGTATCAAATCAAGCCAAAACTTCCAGCAAAAATTTTGCTTTCAAGCGTAAGATAACTAAGTTCTGCTGTTATTGTTTCCCACTTTTTCCATTATTTATTTTATCTTTCGTATTGTAATCTATTTCATCTTTGTAACTTGACAGACTGGTCCGCTTAAACTAGCATATGTTATGCGCCGGCCATAACAATTGGTCCAATAAACCAAACAGGCAATCCAACTAGCTTACGCAAATCGCATAATTTATTCCAGTATATTATTATTCGATCTAGAGAAAAGAATGAAATACATTTGAGAAACTGAACAGAAACTATCGATACATAAACACACGAGTCAAACTATTACCTAGAATTACAGCACTGATAACTTACTTTTTTGGCGATGTCTAGTAGGATTGTTTTACGGTATACAGGTCAGCAACAGATATAACAGATCAGGGTATAACAGAATACGGGTCAGCGCGACAGGTCAGCAAAACATGAGCGTAACTTCGAATCTAAAACATCTGAACTGAAAGCAGACTTAGTGTCAATCAAAGTCAATCAAGAAATCAAGTTAATAATTCATTGTGTTGACGAAACAACAATTGTCAATACTCCAATAGGAAAAATAAAAAAAGAATGTGGTTGTTGGTTACTACTTTACAACAGGCTTACCTTCTTGCTACATGACATCACTCTAATGTTCACTAATATCTTTGGAATCTTCACCTTGGCAAGCATTCCACTTGTTTGGCACGCGTCATATATCCCCGTGCAATTAATTACGGTCAGGTTGCTGCCAGTGCACCTTTCTTGTAACCCTGGGGTGCAACTGTTGCACAGCAATCCCAGCGCTGTAGACATAAAACATAAAGGCTTTACTTATCTTAGAAGTGATAATGATCGATGAGATTACCGGAAGCTGCAATTACCTAGCCTGTTGTAGAAAATTTTTTTGAAATCACACGAAGATTTTGAGTGTAGTGGAGAGTAAAGCCAATAGCTAACTCTCGGAATTTCAGAGAAGCTTTATCCTGACAGCGATATAGGCACAAAAACAGACTTTAACACAGGGAGCAACCTACCTAACCTGTAAATTACTTGACAATTATTCACCAAAGGCGAAGTAAATATTGTTGTCTAATCCTCGAGATAAAGCAGAGGGGTTTAATTAACACTGTACACTGACCCTGAGCCGAATAATTATTTAAGTATAACTGCTCAGGTGCTTTCAAATTCTGTTGTAAATTGTGTAAACGAAGTGAGTTTTGCGCATATTTCATCACAACTATGGTAATTACTCGTATCATGATAAGCGAGGAGTTTTAGCAGGTTTATTTAATTCAAACAGCAAAAAGTCATATCATTATTTTCAAATGTGTTCCGCCAAACTCAGTAGCATCTTTCGTGCTCTTTGCACTTGAGTTTCCTTCTATTGAGTTTATTGAAGCGTATTCAACGAGGGAAACGGTTTTTAATATATTGACAACTTACGAGCACATGGCATCGCTTGACAACCTCACACAAAGATAGGGGGAGACTGGAACCAATACTACTCAGTCACTACAAATACACCACATATCAATTGCTCGGAAACACAAAACGCAAGGCGGCCATTTGAAATTTAGTGCTCCTGCTACACTCCGGCACCTCACGCAAGGTGATTATAACGTGAAATAACGCAATCCTCGATCAATTAGACCGCGCACATTTCTGTTATCCCCTTAAAAATTATACTAAAAACATTCTTCGTGAGGTTTCCTTTTATTTATGTTTTTTTTTTTTACTCAGGCGTAAGCACTCACGAGGTTAGACCGAGGAGATTGCGAAGCGTGAGTCACGCTCCTCGTCTAATACGTGACTTTCGCTTCATGTGCGCCTCGCACTCGCCCAGATACGCATATTAATGACAATTCTTTTGCAAGTTGCTACATGTCAAAGCGTTGGTCCGCTCAGGGGGGCTGAGCCACCGACGTAATATGCAGCAGTCTTGCGCTCTATCATGTCAACCAAACAGAAGGCGGCAAACAGAAGTTACATGTTAATAACCTCTGATAGATAGGGCTTATTGATTTACTTTTTTTTTAGACCCGGTCTCGCTAGAAGAGGGAACCTTATTAAAAACAAAACAAAACAAAACAAACACACAAATTAAAAAAAAAACCACCTTGAGCCACATTGTGCCTCGCTTTTTCTTCTGAAATCGCTCGTTCCTTTAATGACCAATGTGAATGGTATCCATTTCTTTGGTTGGCAAACGTGAAAATGCTAAGGCATTTTCAAATACCCGCTTATTTTGTACGGCAGCGCCTCGTAGCCCTAATGAATAACGATACTAGTACATACCATTTGCATTGCACGAGCGCATTTATTGAAAATGTGTATGGCTTGGAAAAAGCCTAAGACCTAGCTGCTTCATGTAAAAAGCGTTTTGGAGGGGTTAGAGTTGTAGCGCTTGACTGGGAACAACCTGCCTGACATGCTTGTAAAAGTTACACAGCACTTTCCTATCAAACGAAACAAACAGCGAGAAATAGAAAGAACCAAAGAACGTCTTCTGAAAATAGTTGCTTATATAACACAATTTTTTATGAAGATCAATTAAATGGCCACCAAATCGTCTTTGTTGATAATGTTAATCCCTAGATGCATCAACTACTGTTAAATCACTTTCGTTATGTAAATGCTTTTGTTGTGTTAGTCGACTTGATCATGTTGAAAAATGTAGGCGTTGCCTTCATTCGATAAGTGATGTAAGAGTTGCATGTTGATCGAACTAAATACTATAATTTCATCCACCATAAAAAAATATATATATTAATTTCGTCTGAAGAGAATTGAGAGAATTTATAATATCACTGAGCAGACTCCTATCTCATTTACGAGAAGGTACAACACAACCATTGCTTGCAAAGAACCATATCTGTTTGACAATTTACACTAACGAGCAAACCATTCAACCAAACAATTCTCAGAGATATTTTTGTGTTAAATTGGGGTGCAGAAGGCCTCTTGTGGGACTTTCATAGAATGTAGCCACCATCCATGTGAACAAGGATGTTTGCCCTTTTTACTGACAAAGACAAACAGGGAAAAGATATTGTGTGCATGTATTGTCAACAGATGAAAACCCTCTCTCATCATCCACCGCCATAAAAGTATATAAACCCCAACTTTCAAGATTTACCAATGACGCGGATCAAAATCCCTGACGTGTATTATTAATCGTTTTGTATCTCTTTTCTGTAAGTTAAATCATAAAAAGATTAGCTCAACATAGTTAATGCAGTAAATGGTTTGAACCCGGGGGTAACATGTGAAGGTGTAGTCTGGTTTTTGGCAAAACCAACCGATCATTTCACACGAACTGGAATAAGAACATTCTACTGACAACAATCATTCACTTGACTCTGATGATGACTTCAGCACAGGTTGTCGAAACGTCAGTCACTGCCACCGACAACAGTCCTTCCCAGGACTACACTCACCCGGACGATCAGACTACACCTTCTCAACATAGTTAAGTTATCAAACTGACCATGTATGATAATTATCACGTGCAAGGCCCAGTAACTTTAGACTATTAGTCTTTATTACCGCTCAGATTTCTCCTCTGCCTTTCTTTTTTAACGAAATAACTTTTCCAGTAATCACAATTTATAACATAAATGATAGTTAACAAATAATAGTTGCAGAGAAAAAGTATATCTTCAAAAGCCCATCTATTTCTCCCAGATTGTTCGCGTCCAAATCAATATTAAGCTCCTTCTCGTGTGCGTGTGTGTGTGCGTGTGCGTGTGTGTGCGTGTGTGTGTGTGCGTGTGTGTGTTCGTGTGTGTGTGTGCGTGTGTGTGTGTGTGTGTGTGTGTGTGTGCGTGTGTGTGCGTGTGCGTGTGTGTGTGTGCGTGTGTGTGCGTGTGTGTGTGTGTGTGTGCGTGTGTGTGCGTGTGCGTGTGTGTGTGTGTGTGTGTGTGCGTGTGTGTGTGTGTGTGTGTGTGTGTGTTTTTTAAGACGCAGTACTTAACAAATGGATAGGGTCAGGAACAAGTAAACAATTATCTTTCCAATGAGTGTTAAATCATTAAAAAAATATTTTAAAGTTCCGAAATTCAAAAGGCTAGCTTTGCTACCTAAGTAGGGCGTTCGAGCGCAGACGTAACTTGACAGAAAACTGCAGCAAAATGACCCATTTCAAAGCAAATACTAAATAAAACGAAGCGCTAGACAACATTTACCTACCACAAGGTATAGAACCTGCCACAGACAGAACATAAATCAGGAAAAAAAATTCATGTTTAGAGCTGTAAATTAGCCGACGACTGCCTTTGGTAGATCTGGTCTTAAATATATGTTTTCGTTAGGTATTGAATTCATATCAGCATAATTGAATAATTTATAACTATTTACTGTCATTAAATTTATAAATTTTCGGCTAGGGTTTGCTTTCGTGCCTCGTAAAAATTCAAAAACTCGATATTTGGCGATAACAATCCGTCACATATTGTTGTCACATGGACGCGTTGAACCTAATACATTCTGACTTTCAGCTGCACATCAGCTTTTAACAAACGCCTGACTGCCATTTCATTGTCAAAGGTAGATGAGTGTAAGCAAAAAGGCCACCAGCACAAAAGGATAAACCCAGATAGCTTTTCATCAACATATAAATCTCTTTCTTAGGTTACTATCACTTTCGACATATGGCTTGAAATGTCAATTCAATCGATTCCTTCACAAACGGGAGAGTCTCAGGATAATTTTTCATAAATGTACGAGACGAAACTGAAATTTTGAATTCGCATAATTATTTTCAATTTGGGTTTTACTTTTTGTTTATTACTTGCTTTCTGCTATTTTCCATAACAGACTTTCGTAATTAGGAGTATGTAGATTTAATAGACCAAACAACCTGGCTTGATGTCTTCCTGCCGTCCCCTTTTGCATTGATGTCATCACCATCGCCAAAGATGTTTGTGTCGCGGACTGAAAATACTTTGCTTTTTGTCATAGTGGCGCCAAACCGGGTAATTGACGTAAATTATTTCTCTAAAACCTTTTCAACCCATTACCATAAAACCCGAGTGAAAGAGGTTGCCCGTTTAAGTAAACATTTCGTACCAATAGCAGATGGAATGACTCACTTGCGAGGCAGGTTACGTACTGTTACGTGGGGAAAATTACTGGGTAGTTTACAAAAATAATCTGAGATTCAAGATAAAATTAAGAATTCCGACCAGGCCAAAAGAATAGTAGCTAAAATGAAAACTGTATTATTATCAGCAGGTCCCATATCAAACCGAAAATCTGTCTAAGGAAACAATACGTCCCAATTCCCAAATCTTTATTACTTTGATTATCTATCTATTGAAAAATGAACCTTTCTGAAACTAAACGTCCTCAACAGACGCAGATACCAAAGCCATTTCAGTTACATAAAACTTTTCTAAGCGAACAACTTGGTCAGAAATTTTCGCTCAATCCTTTTCCTATTGCAGTTCAGAATATATCGTTGACTTTTAGAAATCTGTGTTCTATCTACTCAAAAACCACGGATAATTCACTCTGTTCTATATAGCGTTTAACAATAAAAACAGTCCCATGCGATTAACTGAAATTGTCCTACTCTAATGCTGGCAGGAATCCAGCGGCAGGTCACTTCATTCACTTATAGTGTATGTAGAGTAATTGCAAAAAAAAGGGAAATTTGATCGGCTACGAAACTTTAAATAGTGAAAAAAACAAACCAAAACAAACACATTCTAGCTCCTACCAAACATGGTAACAGCACTCTTACAGTATGATTACTGCTTAAGTCAGTAAACAAAACAAAGTGCGCTTGTTAAGATGGTGGCGAATGATACAACTTTGTTGTATGCGGTAGCACCGCTGGCAGGTTTTGGTGGGGTTCCTGTGGCAGAAACGTTCGTAGGTTGTGCAGAAACACTGGTTGCCGGGCTACTTGGTGTGGCTGAGGTACTGTCTCCAAGCCCATTACACTTGTTCTGATCACAGCACGTGGCTTCGCATTTTTCATAGGTCATTCCAGATGGCAGTCGCGAGGCATTGCAACCCTTTGCCTGTGAGTCTTGGCACATTGCCTGTGTAAAGATTTAAAAAAGGAAAAAGAAAGAAAAAATGATAGTAGTGGTCGAAAAGAGTTCTTTCTTGAAGATTTGTAAGGACTAAGTTGAGAGGAGGGGGGAATTTGTTTTAGCTTTCTTGACATAAACTTTCCTTTATGGAAAAGTGAAAATTTTTTACTGTGATCATAAAGCAAACGTGTTTGTTGGCAACCTGTTATATTAAATCATATTGAAAAACAGTTTCAAATTGTGTCGAAACTCGAAATTCAACTGGCAGTATTTTGATTTCCACATGACTACAGAGGCGTAGCATAATGTTTCAGAGGGAAGTACGGTTGCTTATTTCCGCGCGCCCGACTTGAATTGGCTTGTGCCGCTGCTCTTGTGTATCATTAAGCTCGAGCTTATTTGAGCTCACGAGGTGAGAAGACCAGGTAAATGAGTATCTTGAACTGGACAAGGTCAATGCTATGAAAATTCTTCGGATTAGTGCGTTTTCGCGCACCTGAATTGTAAAATTTGTGTGGAATAGCTTGAAAGCAAAAATTATTCCACATAGAGAAGGGTTGAATGACACCCCCAGACCACACCCTGGCTATGCTCCAACCATGAACCACCCCGTATTCATACCCAACCCCAGGATTTTTTTATCTTCTCTCAAAGGCTTCCTAGTAACGCCGAAAGGACGAAAAAGTGGTAGTTTCATGAAATTTTAAAAATTTTTAACTATTACTTAACCTTAGCAGTTTTGCACAAAAATGCCAATTTTAAACTGCGCAGTTTCAAAGCTTACCTTCATCCCGCAGCCAAACATATTCGCATTCAGTTGCCCCATTTGTCCCATTTTCACAACTGCCAACACTTTGGTGCATACGTTTGCCATGCCTGATGGTATGTTTGGATCTGCGTCACAATCGGTGACATTCAAATCACCCGCTGTTGTGCATGCCAGTGTCGGTGGGTTTGGTGTGCAAGTGTAGCAGGTGATGGCCATAACCACTGAAAAGAGGATAATGTTAGTTAGCTTTACTAGTTTAGCACAAAAAATTCCAGATTTTTAACTGCACAGGATCAAGGCAATTATGGTGTTGCTTAACAATTCGATCCCCAAAATTTATTATTTTATCGTGACATACCAAACAGGGATCCAATGTGACTTGAATCAAACATCATTTTAACCTCGCTCTCGGAGAGGAAAAGAGAGGAACCTGGGAACGAGGATGACGCGAGGCTTTGTGGCACATGTGGTGATGGTGTCCAATCAGAATTTTTTTCTCCCTTACTATAATTCATTTTCCGCAAAGTACACATAGAATGATTGAGACGATAGACTTTATCTATAGATTATACTCATGAGTAAAAGTAATGCTCCATCGAAGAGAATTTCACGCTTTCGTGAGGGTCTGGAAGGGGTTAACTGACAACTGATAACTAACAAATCACTGAAAATCTAACAGACAACTGACATTTGTGGTGGGCTTTTACTGACAGCTGACAGCTGACAAAAGACTGGATCGCCCTGAATATTCTAAAAACTGTATTTTGTCGAATAAATGTACGTTTTTCATTACATATCAGTGGGAGTACGCCAGTGTCATATTTTGTTAATGATTACCACATGACCAATCCACATCAAGGTCATATGTTACATATCGGTTATGTGATCTTTGATACCCAACTCGATCGTCAACTCTGCGATGGCCGTCAATGCTGGTATTTTAAAGGCTGTTGCAATCTTTTATCAAATTGATTCGGAAACGGCATTTTAGCGTCTGGGAATGTGACATGTCAAATTTGTTGAGGACCGTGTTGTTGAAGTGGCAGTTGCTGAAATGCGAACGTAAGCAGACGAATATGACACGGACTCAGATAATGACTTTTCTGACCGAGAGGATAAAGATACTACCCTAATTACAGTTTCTAGATCTGGGCGCCCAATTCGCGCCCATTTTCGCTTGGATTTCTAAGGTACTCTTACATTAGATATCTCTAATAACCTAATTGAAAAGTAGACAAAAGAATATTCCTTTCTGATCATTTCATCGGTGCCAAGCGCAATCGACGTATTGCAAAACAAAACATTAAACCAACATCTGTTGGAAGGAAGATCGTTTTTCTGACGATCTGGAATGCTTCAATGTACATGTTGCACATGGGTAAACAGAAGTTTGTGTGCAGAAGAGTTGTAGCTTACTTAAACACCTTTCAAACAAAGACTGACAGTCACTTGGAAGATCTTGGAATTATTTCATTTCAGAATTGAGAAAAAGGAGTTCTTATTTTATCAATTTTTTACTTCATTCTTGAGTTAACGCTGTCTATGAGCCTTTCAATAATGGCATAGGGTAAAATGAGGACTGGACTGGACCATTTTTGGACCACTTTTTGGACCATTTTATAAGGGGGAAACCACACCATTCAAACTCAGCGAGGGGTGGGTGCAGTCTAGTAGTACTGAGGGAGGGGTGGGAGGCAGATTGTTATTACTCAGGGAGGGGTGAGAGGTGGTTGTAATTGTAAACACTACTGGTAAATGGAGCTTTAACTCGATCGTACAAATTATTTTAGTCAGTCCTAAACCGGTTACCATAATGATGGAATATGAGTGTTTTGATTTCCTGGCATTCGGTCAGTCTTGATGTTCAGGTTTAGATTTCCTCGAATTATTGCGTTGCCTCCACAAAATACAAGAAGGCGAAGCCTTTCAACATTTTTTTTACCGCTTTTTTCCAAGGCAGCGATTGATATCGCCGAGGGACTTGAAGATTTGCATTCAAAGAATGTCGTACACCGCGACTTGAAACCAGGGAATGTCTATTCCATACATGGTTTTGTTCCGCGCTCAACTTTGCAGGTCTGCGCGTGAACCAAAGTTCTCTTCGAAATGTCGATAACAAATTTTTCGAGATTTGCGTTTTCGAGGTCTGCGTTTTTGAGGTCTGCGTTTTCGAGGTCTACGTTTTCGAGGTCTGCGGTCTGTGTCGCGTTCCCGATGCCGCAGACACGTGGTGTTGTGCACCGGAGTGCGCCAGTATAACTACAGTGTTCAACTTTAGACAAGTAGCAGCATCAAACTCTTTATTCACTTAAGCTGGTAGTCTTTGTACAGCACAGGCGGTAAAAACTATAGAACGGATACATGAAAGTTCGATATAAGGAAAACCGAAAGACTACGAAACAATAAATGATAAAAATGAGGAATATTACAAGCGTAACTTACATCGGATCTTGACTCCGGGGTAGAGAACTCCTAAACTCCGTTCGGCTCCGAAATGGTTTCGCTACAATGACTCCTCGCAACTGAACTACTTGCTAATAGAACTACTTGCTAATAGAACCACTTGCTAATAGAACTACTTGCTAATAGAACTACTTGCTAATAGACCCCCGGTCTTCGTTTTCGTAGTACGAAAACGAAGACCCCCGGTCATTGTTTTCGTAGTACGAAAACGAAGACCCTGCATTAGCCAAAAGAATTGCTTATTTTTTAACGAGAATTTTCCAGCAGAGAAAGCTTAACGACCGTCAGAATCTATTTTAGCTACGAATTGCAGTAGAAATCGATTATTTATTGACATAACCTAAGAGTCATTTTTCCCGTACAGTAAGCTTTCTCTGTTATTCTGTCACGCGATGCAGGCTTTATTCGGGCGCGTACTCTCTTTTTCGGCCTAGCACGCATTGCGTGACGGACGTGTACAGTAAGAGAAGACGATCTTGTTGTTGGTGGTGTGACAAAACAGTGGAAGGCCGACTATCGCACGTGTGGCCGAGGGAAACATTTTTGCGCGAAACTTAAGCCACATGTTGTGATGGAATCCCTTCTGCAATTTCGCTGCCAGGTGACCCTCTTCGTATTAGCTGAGGAAGCTTAAACTTTCGAAAAACCGACATAGTTGAATTTTTTACCGCTCCAAAGATTGTCTGCTTTTAATAAAGGGTCTTCGTTTTCGTACTACGAAAACAAAGCCCGGGGGTCTTCGTTTTCGACCTACGAAATCGAAGACCTTGCATTAGCCAAAAGGATTGCTTATTTTTCAACGAGAATTTTCCAGCAGAGAAAGCTTAACGACCGTCAGAATCTATTTTAGCCACGAAATGCAGTAGAAATCGATTATTCATTGACATAACCTAAGTGTAATGTATGATATTACTAAGCGTTGTTACTGTTTAATGTGCGTTTAACTTGTAATTTTAGCGGTTTTCTGTTTACAGGGTCTTCGTTTTCGTGGTACGAAAACGAAGACCGGGTCTTCGTTTTCGTACTACGAAAACAAAGACCCTGCATTAGCCAAAAGAATTGCATATTTTTTATCGAGAATTTTCCAGCAGAGAAAGCTGAACTACCGTCAGAATCTATTTTAGCAACGAAATATAGTAGAAATTGATTATTTATTGACAGAACCCAAGAGTAAATTTTCCTGTACAGAACGCCTTCTCTATTATTCTGTCACGCAATGCTAACTATAAATCAAAGGCGGCTACCGTTGGAATTCTGCCTGCTGTTCCAGAATAATAATATGTGTGGTAAGTTTACCCGAGGAAACCCTCGAGAATATCAACACCAAATTGGCTCGCATAGCGAAAAAGAACACTGACAAGACGGGCCGTATACGGGCAGTACAGTAATACGGGCAGTATGATAATGGAAGAAACGCGTGAAGTGTAATGTATTATATTACTGAGCGTTGTTATTGTTTAATGTGTGTTTAACTTGTAATTTTTACGGTTTTCTGTTTACAGGGTCTTCGTTTTCGTGTTACGAAAACGAAGACCGGGTCTTAGGTCTTAGGTCTTCGTTTTCGAGGGTCTTCGTTTTCGTAACACCCATTATTTTCTATAGTAAACGTATAAACGTTAAAATTGCGATAGGGCTTGTGAATTCTATATGCTATTAAGCAAGGGCTAAGGACCGGAAATTCCGTGACCTCGTCTGATAACATCACTGACAAAGGAAGATAGATAAATCTGGTAATTACATAATGTATACCCAAAGGAAAACTGATGGTGCACAAGTCGACTTAAAAGACACACGCATAACTCAACGGCGGAGGATCGTAAACGCGATATTTTCAATAAAAATTAAAGTCCGGTGTTTGCGTGGCAGTTTCGCTTTCGCATGACAAAAATATTAAAGAAACGCCGCGGCCCAGCGCAAATTTTTGAAAAGTCAGTCGAAAAACCGATTAAAATAATTTTCACGATCGAGTAAAAGCTCCATCAACCAGTAGTGTTTACAATCACAACAACCTCCCACCCCTCCCTGAGTAATAACACTCTACCTCCCACCCCTCCCTCAGTAATTATAGACTGTACCCACCCCTCCCTGAGTACTAATGTTGTGCTTCCCTCCTTATAAAATGGTCCAAAAAATGGTCCAAAAAATAGTCCAGTCCAGTCCATATTTTACCCTATGCCTTCATTAATAGCCTTTCAATAATAGCCTTTTTAATAATTGCCAAGTCAATTAGTAACAGTCATTTAACTTACAACTGACAAATGGCCTAAAATCTAACTGAGATCTGATAAATGGCCGAAATTTTAACTGACAACTGACATTTGTACCCCCCGTCCAGACCCTCTTTCGTCATTGTTCAGATTACTTTGGATTGAGCACAGTATACACTGTGTTTGGGAAGCCATTTATCGTTTCCATGCGTTTTAAATCAGAATCAACAACGGCGTAAAATCACTCCCATCCTCGGAGACCCAGGGGCAGTGAGGCGATTTCAAGTTAAGGGCAGAAGAGCCCCTGGGGACATTGTCTTACAAGACTAGTTCCAAACGGTCGCAGTCGTTCTGGCATCTGATTGGTGCCAGAAAATCTTTGTGTTTTTCTGCCCAATCAGAGGGAAGTGTCGTTTGGAGTCCTTTCGTGTGTTTTAACACGCACTTATACAACAAGCTCTGTTGCTCGCTATGTTTGTCTCGGCCGTGCGACGAAGCTTTGCGCGAGGGGAAAAGTTTCAGTCTCAGCACACAATGTAACAGAAATCGATCAGATTGTCTGCGAAATCTTACCGGAAATTATACTGAATATTTTCGCAGGTATTACAAGAGAACGAGTTTAAAAGTTTGCGAGATTCGTTTTAAAACATAATAGTTGCAGGCATTGATATGTCGCATTAAACGTTAGATGAGATGTAAGCTTAAATATTTTTAGATTTTTTGTACAATTTGTTGTGACTGAAACTTTTCCAAGCCCGTGAAGTTATTTCGTCGCACGGGCCACGCAGGTATGTCAAGCAACTGGCGCTTACGTAGCTTTCTGTGCGCGCCAAATTCTAATCGTTGCTTTGTAGTAAACAGA